AGAAGTGTGCTTACTAGGGCCTGATCCTGAAAGTTTCAAATAACAGAACTGAATTTTACATCTTGTCCAGCTGTCCTCCCATTACTGCTATGAGCATTTGAACAGTTTCTTGTGCAAACAGTCAACTGGCTGGCAGGCTCCACTCTGAGAGCTGTGCTTTCGAGCTTTAATCAAAGGTTGACATAGCAAGTACTCTTCTGAATCACATCACTACGATACATAAAGCACAACCTATTAGTACTGGTCTGCATGTGCTAACATTTAATAATTTCATATTATTAAATATGAAACAAAGTATTTTACATATAGCAAAGAGCAGTGTCTTAAGTGGAAAAGAAAAGTGACAAACCATGCTGAGGAGAAAAAAAAAAGATTCACTTCTTTATTTCCTTCCAACGTTTAGGTCTGGACTTTATATCTTATCTTACTCTATTACTTTCAGACTCAAAAATGGAGATTTACAGTAAAGTCCTTTCACCTTACTCTCAATATCAGTAGAAAATCGATCTCTGCAAAACACACCTCCTTCGTTAAGATGCTTTTACCTACTTCTCCTACCTATAAGAATTTACTGGCGTTGTAGAACTTTCACTCTACTAGCATTTTCATTTTTCTTTACCTAGTCATTCAAACTGATCAAAGTGGTATCATTTCCACAGGCATCTCTCCTCCTAAGAGCACTTCTGGACTTTTACTGCTTCCTGGCACTGTACCTAGCCACTGAACTGAAACGCCTTTCACAGATCCACATACCTAACCATTGTGCCCCTCTGTGTGCCAATCAGTGGCCATTTTGTTTCAAGTTGTTTACAAGCAGAGACTCACATGCCTTGCTCTATCCTGGAGGGTGGGCGGGACAGAAATCAAAACAAACAAAAAAATTCCAGCAATGTGACTTCTGAACTTTCTTGTTATGTTGCTCATATTAGAAACACCTCCTGATTCAGAGGTTCAAGAATATGCTTTACTTCTTGGGATATACTTCCAAAACACATTCTGTAATACGCATTTCTAACCACCACAGCTTGTACATGTACTGCAGACTCTGTTGGCCCAGATGGGGATCCCATGCATTCCCGAGGCAGCTGGGTCTGGAAGCTTTTCCGATTCTGGGAGTGCAGGGTCCACTTGAAAGTGAAGATCCCTTTTCCGGCTGTTCTTCCCCAAGTGTGGGCCTCTGCAATTCTGCTGCTCTAGCCTTATAAATGCCGCAGGCCTCAACATCCTACTCAAAAGCACACACCCTCAGGGTGATAGATTCACTGTAGAATCAAAAGTAATGAGAAGAGAAAGAAACACAACTTTGCATAGCAACCTCACTCTCAAACCACACAAAAGCTATAGCTCTTCAAGGAAAACAACAAAAGCCTTCATAATCCCTGCAGTGTCAACAGCCTCTTCTTGGAAGTCCATGGGACCTCCTTGCCTCTGCAGGTGCTGAGGCATGACAGAAACTATGTCCTTCCCTGCTATCTCTGTCTTTTATGCCAGCTGCCCTGCTTCACAGCTTCTTCAGGCAATTAAAGCGCAAACCCCATTGCAGATGAACTAGACCAAACAGTTCAAATCTTTCAGGCTGAGAAATACAACTGCTGATCCCCAGAGCAGCTGTGATGGGAAAAGTGCCCCACATTCCAGTGAGATACCATGGGAGATTTTAACTATAAGGACTGCCCTGTGTAAGTGCTGTGTAAACATCACTCTCCTGGTACAGGTCTACATTCAAGGACACTTGTGTTCATTTGCTGCTGGTCCAGACCTTCAGAGCACTTAAGTCACTGCACCTTCCCACTACCTCAGCTAGATCTAACAGCAACTGCAGAGGAAACGAAGAACCTCTATTTCATTTTACAGGCAGATAGTCCACCCTCATCTTCCTCTGTTGATAACTGAGACACACTGCAATTAAATGGTGAGAAGCCTTTGCCCTGCCATGAAGCGGCTGTTGTACATTGCAGCTGCTCCAACTGAGGAAAGAAAAGACAATCCTGCTGTCCACCTCAAGGCTTTTGGACTCTCCAGCCCCTCTCACCAGCTAACCATTCTTGTGCATAGCCTTTTCAAGAAAAAGATAATACCCCTATACTTTGTGTGACTGCCTTCTAGAGTTCACAGGATACTACTTTACGACTACAGGGACAATGCCCTCACTGACAGGGCATAGTCTCACCAGGTCTGAATATTGTGGGCAGAGTTGAGTACCAGTAACAGGGTCTATTGACAGTCCCAGACAAAGGCAAGTGACAAACCAAGTCCAAGGTCCATCCAGGATCTCCAGTCAGGATCAAAGGTAGATGGGGTCAGAGACAGGGCTGGAGAAAAAGCTACCACATAGATCTAAGAGGTCTAACCGGGAGACAAGCCTCCTAAAGCCTAGGTTCAAGGTCCATCCAGGAGGCAGGGCCAGAGACAGGACAAGAGACAAGCACACTTACAACATAGCTCTGCCAAAGATTGAAGGCCTGGGCCTGAAGTGAACTGAGACCCTGAGTCCATGGGCAGGGGGTGTAAGAGGAGGCCCCAGGTGAAGCTGGTCAGGACCAGTAAGGCCTATTAGTGCATTCAGGACCCCTTTATCATGGGGTATTGACCTTTGACCTTGATGTTTAGGTGTCCAGGATAGGCACCTCATTTAGGAGCTGACTTATCTATGTCACTGGGGCAGATGTTCAGATTCACTTTGACTAGATATTTTGAATTTGCTTAGATTAGCTAGATGGTGTGAATACCCCACTTCAGGTTTTACCACCTGCCCCTCTTCAAGGAAGTATAATAATTCTTCTGTTCTTGGGGCCCTAGGATGGTGCAGGATTCAGCTCCAAGTAGACTGTACTCTGGCTTTAATAGTGCAAGTCTCGAAGTTTGCTCAGTCATTCTCAGAGCAAGTTGTCTCCTCTGATTCTTGCCTTTTAATCCGTTTCCCAGGTATCTGCATAGTAAGTCAAAGAAGTGTCTGTAGTGTCAGTCTCTCTAAGCTCTATTCCACTACCTATGTCCACGGGAAGGTAAAGAAAATACATTTAAAAACTGTAAAGCCAGTGGTGTGTGCTAACAGTCCATGTCCCCTGGAAAATATTTGCACTATTCATTATTAACAAGAAGGCTCTCTTGGTAATTTGTACACTGCTTTTAGCTCTCCAAGATTCCTTCCCTCTTTGGCTTCCCTAAAGATATGTGCTCTACAGGCTAACACAAGTGTTCAGCTGAGCTCCAGTCCAGCACTTTTCTGTATTAGGCGAAAATGTTGTTTTCATTACCAATCTCTAGTGCTTAAAAAAAATAAAAATAAAAAAAATCCCTGCAACTGAAACTGTTTCTCATAAAGTCCACATTGCATAAACAATCGTCCCAGGTCCTGGGAACAACAACCAGTCCACACATGGACTGCCCCACAAGAGCAACAGCTCATACTGGTCAGGCCAGGGCAGAACAAGGACGTGCTCACTTTGAGGGACAGATGGTATCTATTTAACTAAACATTCTTCCACTAAGGCTGTTTGAATGCCCAGATCATTTCTATCGGCTTCTTATCACATTTGGGAGCCCAGCATGCTTCTGGTGGAGGCTGAGTAAGTGCTTCCCAGAGACTGCTGTAGTTTCAGGGATCAAGGCAACATATCAGCATGAAGAGGAGGTGTGTGTTTGTGTGTGGGGGGGATAAAAACAACCCCATGCCATGTTTGCTGATTTTGAAATGTTCTTGGATGGATTTCCAGGTAGAATATAGATACAAGAACGTGGGAGGCCTCCTTCATCCATACTCAGTTTGCTATATGTTCAGGGCCAGGCTGTGAGCCTTTAACTCATCTACGTCTGTGCGCTGTTTTGCAGACATGAATGACCTCTGCCAGTGCTTAGAGTCACTGGAAAACCTCCCTGGCATGTGCAGCATGGTACTAAGACCAGGCTATTCTGCTTTTTTGAGTTGGCTCACATCTGGCTGCAAAATTCAGTGTAGACATGCAACTTAGCATTGCACCCACTCCTAGGAATGCTTCTCTTTCCAGATATTTTTGTTGTGAGGAGAAGGTGTTACTCATTCTCACTGAGCATATTGCAGGGTGTCTTACCATTAGACTGTCAGGCAGAGCTGTTTATCCGAAACCTCTAGTGCGGTGAGACAATACGGCCCTGTGTCAGTCCTCTTCAACTGTGAAAGCGCCACATACAAAACTATTAGCATGGTATGTGCAAAGTGTAGCATTCCCCTAAGCACCTTGAGATGAAGAAGAACTGGAGGGTGTTCAGAGAGAGCAGAGAGGAAAGGTGTGGAACACCTATGAAAGGGAAAGAAAAGTCTCTCTGTCTTCACCAGGGAACTGGCTCACACACTACTGCAATAACAACCATTGGCAGGCTGCCCAAAATCACTGTACTCTGGTTGTAAGTGAACTGTGAGGCTCAAGCAATCTTCTGGGAAAAGTTTACACCAAATATATTGCGTGTTAAGTTTTCCGCTCATTGTATTTTTTTTCCAAACCAGTCTATTATATTTCTTCCCTGTTGCATTATGGATTTCTTTAAGATCCCTGGGAGCTGTCCTTTTGAAAACCAAACACTGAGTAATCTAAAAGATCTGGTTTTTAAGGCAACAGAGATAAATCAGTAATCTTCCCCTCAAAGAGACAGTCTTCAGAATAAAACCAGAGCACAACTCATTATGGTTTTCTGTTGTTGGGTTTTTTTTCTTAGATAAAGCCAAGAAATTGAGTGAGAGAGAGAAGCATGTTATTAAAATGCTATCATTATCTATATGATGTACATCTTCCATAGAGTGGAAGCCAAAGAACCCCAGACTTTACAATAACATTGCAGTAAAAGGGAAAACATTCCAAAGAGCATGTTTTGTATTTTTTCTGGACCTTTCAAAACAAGTTTGACATGGTTTTACAAGATAGTCCTGGTCACCTCACAGATGCCAGCTATGATTCCCACTGTAAATTGAATGGGCACAGAGATTTTATTAGAAGCACATGAATCTATAGTGCTTGAAGAATGAAGTCGCTTGGTCTGTGCTGCGGGCAATAATAAGATGCATTAATTTTTATTTTTGACTATCTCCAAACATGGCTTTTACAGATTCATAAAAAGACAAATTTTGTAAGTTCACAAAAACCGTGAACACAATGGAAATTTATCTGACAAATCAGATCATGGGCGATCAACTGGAAACTGGATAAGAAAAATAGGCCCATCTATACATAACCAGCCCAAGTAATATTCTACATTGCTTCACAAATGCAGATACTTTGAATTTATTACTATTATTTACTGTTGTTGTTACTAATTCATTTCACTGTATCAGCGCCTAGAGGCCTTTGCTAAGCTCTGTGTTGCACTGTGTGAGGGGTATCTATGCACAGAAAGTTCCTGCCACAAAAGGTTTAGGAGGTGAAGTTAGGATCTTTTTGCAGATGTGGTGGCACTGTACAGAAAGCAAACTCACAACAAAACAATAAACAGTCCATTCAGCTTTGATGTGCAGTGGTACTGCAATTCCTGGAGACCTCAGTAAGGAGTTTTCAGTGTTCAGCACTTTCAAAAGCCAGACGGAAGTTCCTTGCTATACTTCTGACAATAGGTGCTTAGAAATTAGAGATAGAAAAGAATTATTAGGTTATCAGGCCATATTCATCCCTGATGAAAACCTGTTGAAGTCAATGGAATTTCATCGGGGATGGGTTTACCATAGAAGGATTGTTCCCTATAGTATATTTGCAAGTGTTTTGTCCTATGCAGTTTTAATTAGCTCTACATCAGTCGAGGTACTGTACCATTGTTTCAGTCAGCTACCCTTATAGAAAGCTGTCTCCTTGTCCATGTTCCCCTCACCACCCCTGCGTCTTATTACCTTCTTCTCAGCCCCTCATTATCTTATGCCTAATTTGGCTAATGACTTTTCTCAGGACAGATGCAGCCTTCTTTCATGTTTAAGAAGGACCTAGACTGTTTTGAGCTAAAAAAATAAGAAAAAAAAGAACAAATTCTTATATCGAAAAAATACAAAGGTGTTTATGAAGCCACAAGCTGTTCTTTGCCACTCCATAAATCCCTGTATAGCTAGGGTACAGTTTTTCACCACATGTTCTGCATTAAGATGGACATGGAGACTTTAGTCTTGACTTTCCAGTTTCATCACTGACTCACTGAGTGGCTTCACTTTTCAACTCTCTGCTTAACCATTATTACAATGGACACAGTTATGCATAGACAAAGCATTTCTTAAGTTGCTTCATAGAAATTAGAAGTTTTAAGTTCCTTAGTGTAAAATCATAATAACACAAGGCAAAGCACAGAGCTCAATTAAACTTCTTCTGATCATGCCAGGAGGGTTCCACGTTATCTTCCTGTGGGCATTTCATCAGCCAGGGCTTTTCATGTAAGAATGTGCTGCATGCATGTCACAGCATGGGATCTCATCACAGACACCTGCTCTTGGCCTGAAAATACAGATTTTAACCCCTCCCGCTAAAAAGGGTTGACAGAAGGCCATATTATCTAATTACTCATGCGTGCTCTCCAAGACAGGGTCCACAACTCCACTTACTTACAATAGTTTGCCACAGACTTCTCTTTACCATTTGGTGAGAACATTCCATTAATATAGCAAGAAAAGATTGACAAGATGGGAACAGTTACAGCAAGAACTGAAGAAAATCTACGTCTTGTAAATACAGTCATAAGATTCATTATTTATAGTTTCTTAAGCTCTCACTGTGAAGGTAGTTAAGCCAAGCTGTACTGTGTAACTTGGTTCTCCTCCACTACAAGACCATGGATCCAGGAGAAATTAACTGTGATAGCCACCTCTAACAAGCGGGGGAAGGTGAAAGCAGCTTCAGCTTACAATAAGCCTTAGTCTAAGTTAGATCTGCACCAGTGGTTATGTTTCCCTCAGGTGCTAGAAGGGGACGGGGTGGGGAAGCAGGAGGAAGATGAAAGAGGAGGTATAAACTTTTGGCTCTGCTTAAACAATGCATTTGAGTCACTTCAGTCAAAATCATTCAGCAGTTCCTACAAAATCCAATCATGGACCAAAGCAAAGTGCAGTTAAATGAAATGTTATATATTGTATCCGGCAAGCAATCACCATACTTGCATTCTCATTGCCCTCAGCAGCACCTGCATTCTTTGATCACAGTCCTTTTATGTGCTACACTGTATACAAAAGACCAAGCCAGCAATTAGCTATTCTAGCACTGGGTCCTGAAATCACTACAAATGCTTCAGCCCTTTAATGAATCCCTAAATAGAAGGAAGTTGCAAACAAAGTTCAGCTTGTGTATTTTACGCCAGGTTCCCACAGCACTGTAGTTTCTTAGAACTTAATTAATGACACTTGCATCCTGTACGCCTTCCAGAGTTTTAGTGGAAACTTTACTGGTCACTTCCAACTCTGATAACTTTTGGACAGTTGGCTTCAGCACATCGGGCAACATCACCAGCCTCTAGTAAAAAAAGACAGGACTTCGCTGCTAATCATGACTCATCCGTATCAATGGGAGGGACAAATATTGGAGCAAAAAAACGTACACCATTCACTAGTCATCATTCTCATACTTCCATTGAAATAGAGGAACCAAAATGGGGGATGAAAATGAAAACCACAGCCTAATATACCAGCATATGGGAACTCTGCCAATGCCCCTAATTAAAATTCTGTACTAATCTCTTCAGGGAATCCAAGAAATTCTTTCAGAAAATGGAACATTCTTCTATGCACATCCAACTACTTATCCTGCAAGAGTGAATATAAAAGAGATTGTATACGATCAGACAGAGGTCAGTGGAGTGGAAAGGACAGTGTGAAAGCTACAGGAAATGAGCCATGTATGCACAAAACTACTCGAATTCCTTCTTGAACCCTAACTCACACAATGTGTAATTTTACTAGTCCTAGTTTAAAGACCATTACATTATTGGAAAGATTTCATTAGTTTCAGTAGGTTTTTAATCAGTTCCTAAAACACAAGAATATAAACTAGGTATTGAAAATTACAGGGTTTGCCAACATATCCTTTCCCTTCTTTTCCTTTTGTCCTACCATCATTAAAAAGTTTGGTGAGAGTGATTTCAGATGAATGAGAAGTGTAGATGCTGGATTGGAGAGGGTCTAGGGCAGCACCTCTGACATTGGCATATAGGCAATAAACAACACATTCAGTGCTGTCAGAGATGCAATTAGAAATAAAAGGAAGGAAAGAGTTGGTAATTGGTTGGTAACTGGAGAGGGAAGGTATTCTGATAGATAAGTATTTTTAAGAAGGGAAAGACCAATGCTACTTTTATTGTTGGTTAAAAAAAAAAAAAAAAGCCAGAGTGGAAATTTAAGGGGAAAAGTAGGGCGATTGATATATACATGAGAAGGAGAGGTAACTAGAAGGCAAGCAAGTGGACAAGACTAGGTTAGAGCCTCATTTTCCTGGGTAGAAAAAGAGGCAAGACAGGTAGGAGGCATAACAAAAGGCACAGACGACAGGAAATCACATCATACTTGTCAGTTTTCGCTCTGAAGAAACCAGCAAGGTCCTATAAAGAAAAATAAGTGAAGGCAGTAGGAGAGCAGAACCCTGAAAGATGAATCTAGGCTGGCCTTGCAATGAGTAAATCTTCTGTCTAGCTGTGCTGCTAAGTGTTATAGGTCAAACGACCCTATCCTGGGTTCAAGTTATTAAAATCCAAGGCTTTTGTCTGGCCAACATGGAGCTACAACAGTTTAATCCTTCATTGCCTTACTTCTTGCATAGCCCCTGACATTCATGCGAATTGGCTGAGGACAGCCAGAGGGAAGTGGAGGCACAAGCATGTGTGGCATCCAGCCTTTGCAGAGGTGTAAATGACTACATGCAAAACAAGACAGTGAGGACGCAGCTCCCTTGGCTAATTCTCTGAAGTAAGCGAGATCTACAGATCTACCCAGACAAGATTTTAGCTGCGGTCCATTTCTCATTTGAACAGCCTTCCCTCTTCTCCCCTACCTAGAGACTTACAAAATTTCTTCTCTCCTATTCTTTTCTAAAGGATCTTTCTGTGACTAAGCCATTTACGTGTCTATATTACATGTAATTCTCTGATGTCAGATGAGATAACAGAGATAATCCTCCTAAAGGATTTGTGGCATTATAGATTACAGCTTCCATTTGTATGTTGTGTGCATTGCCTTCAAGAGGCCTTGAGCAATGGTAAAAGATCTCTGTATTCAGATCATAAGATATTCACATTCAGTACAGTCTTATTACAGGTTTAGAAACACCAACAACCTAACTAAGCGACCAGCTGTTCAGATTCCGCTGTTCTCTTAATCCATGCAAAGGTAAAATTCTATTATGGTCAAAGAGAGCTTTGCCAAGGTAACAAGTTTTAAGTCTTTTTTCTTGTGTTTCTTCACCTGCATTTTCACTATAAAGTGATCACTTAGAAAACAGAACAATTTATTCTAGATAGAAGTCATCTTTGTTTCACCTTAGTGTGTCCAAGGCAGAGTAGGCACTTACTTACTGTGCCTTTTTTTTTTTTTTTTCAATACCTCAACTCCTCTTAACATAAACCAATGGGAACCTCAGCATTTGATTTCTGTTATATAGCTCAGGGGCCTACTTAGGGCTTAGACACTGAGATACTTTTGTGGATCTGCCTTAGGGTGCTGGATCTGCCTAAGGGTGCCCTCACTAGGAATCTCTCAGGAAAAAGTTGAACAGTTACAGCTGAACTGCCACTCCACAACTAGGTTTCTGCATGGGAATGTGCAATTAATACTTTCAGGAGGTGATAATCACTCAGAAGATCCTTAGTTGCCTTTCCTGCTCTGTAATGCAAGCTCCTCTGGTGAAGACACTGAACAATTTTGGGAAACACAGAAGAGCTGCGCTCAGTAATCTCACAATATGACTATTCTGATACACAGCCAATTCTTGCTCCCAAGCCTGGAAGACCACATAGCTGATCTCAGTGTTACCGGATGGTGTGAAACTGTTCACACAAAAGCAGATCCTGCTTAGCACATGTGGAATACTCCTAGAAGGAACATGGTTAATGATGAATTTGGGTGACATTAACACAGATGTCACGTACAATATGCTTTTGCCTAATTATTAGTGTATTTACATTCTATTGAACCTTGCAATGATCATTTTTTAATTTCCTCTGCTGTGAGAGCATTCAGTAGAGTGGGGGAAATTTACGTTTGCTCTCCGACAATAATATATCAATCTCTACAGCAAAAATTTGTGTCATTTTGCCCTGTCATTTTGCCTGCTGCAGTTGCACGCCTGAATATATCAGCAATGTTCAACCACCACCAACCACTTCCAGTGTGGAATGAAGAAGTTTCAAAGAAAGTTTAGGTAAAGAAGTTTAGGCACCTCTTGCCTAAACTATTTTGAAAAAGCATAGTTTTAGTACGTACAAGCAGGCATACATCTAATGGAAATACACCTTTTGCAGCTTGTGTCTGCATGATTTAAGAAGTTACAGATCTCAGCTGTTTGTTGTCTTTCCGACTCCCCTGGCTCTGTTGAAATCACCACTATGACAGCCAAGATGAAGTAGCTGACTCTGTGAGCATTCCTAGTCCTTTCCAATACACAGCAAAACTCCTTAGCTTAAATCAGCACTGACGGGAACTAACTCCTTAAACAGGCTTGAACTTGATCCCTGTGAGCACATCTGACTGTGCCCAGGATTGTCTAGTTCAGCTTGGAGTTGGAGCATGTACCCTATTATCAGCAGCAGCAGCTCTACATCAGTCAGCAGCTGGCAGACAGGCCCTTGGGGACTCTTCTAGCCAAGGCTAGCACAGCCCTATGGCTGCTTCAGTATATTCTCTCTCTGCAAAGCAGGACGCATCTCTGTGCAAATGTTGTTATTGCACAATGGGTGTCACTGATAGCAGGAAAGAGACAATGCTTGGGAGCTGGACATGTTGTTCAAACATCCTTCCAGTCTTTTTATATACTCTGATTAAAGCCCTTTACTTAGAACTGCCATCATGTTGTTGCTAGCTACTTCAAGTGCACAGAGAATATCTCAAATCCTTTTTTACCCTTGTTCAAAGGTTGAACTGAACTATATTTGAGTCCTTGAATTTGTAGTGTTTGTGACATTCCCTTAATGTAGATTCTGGTTTATCTATATCCAAATACATATAGATCTACACACACACCGGTACTGCCATCTTTTCAACTGCTACATACATTTTCACTACTAGCCCATTCAGTTTCTCCACTATGTTTCCAGGTCATAACCCCACTGTTGTTAACAATACTTAGCCTTGACTTCCTAGCAGTATTTCTCGGGCAGCAGTAAGCTGGCCTGTTAGGCAACCAAGAAATCTGAAACAAAGAAAAACTGTTACAAGGAGGATATGGGGCGGGCAGAAGAGTAAGTGGAACTAATAGACCAAAGGCCCGAGGAAAAGAAATAAAGAGAGGATGAGAATAAGGATAGCAACATTCAGAAGGATTTGATCCCAGTGTGGGTAGCAGCAGCCTTACCTGATATTATTATGGACAGTGCTCAGATCTACTGGAAGTTCAGCTGTTGCAGAAGTTCTTCTGTTGCAGAAGTACAGAACCAGCAGAGGGCTAAATCTCCAAGCTTCCCATGTTCAAAACATGATACACAGTTAAGCATAAAGGCAAAAAGTAAGAAATAATGGGAGGGATTAATTACATAAACCTGGATGCCCATCTTTTAGATGCCCTAATTCTTTCCCACAGGACCTGTGCTACATCTACCAGCCCCATGCCACCATCTCAGATACCTTAGAATTCTACATTTAGACTACTGAGCCCTAACCACCCTGTCCTGTTTTATTTGACCCCATGCTCTTCATTCTTGGGGACAACGAACGGTGACAAACCCCAGCCAGAGAACAACTCTAACCAGCTTGAGTTACAGCACCTTTGCGATGACCCAGGTTGTACCCCTGGCCCACTGCTGATCTAATCCAGGGTAATGGGCAGCTCAGTTCCCTGCCTGGCTGAACCACGTGGCCACCTCTAACAGCTTACAGCCACTTCTGTTCCCTGCCACGTGTTGAATGCAAACCACGTGCGGCTGAGCACTGTCATTTCTCATAAGCACAGCTGTAGAACCCAGAAGAAACAGCAAAATCCATTGCCAGGCATCTCCATTACCATAACTACGTGACTGAAGCTTCGCCATAGCATAGCCTTTTCGCCTTACCCATCCGTCTGTTTTTCACCTGGTCTCTTCCAGTCACTGCTCTTCCTCACCAGGCTCTCAAGTGGCCATGACAAGAATGCCTGAGGAGATGAGATAGACGCACCTACAACAAATAAATAAAGCAATAAAGCAATAAGAAGACAAAGTGAGAGAACAAGGGGACATGAGCTGTACAGAGGCTTGAGGGCCAGCCCATAGAGTCACTCAGTCTAGACTCCAGATGTGAACGCAGAGCCTCAGTGAGTGCAATACGGGACTCCGTAAATATTTCAGCCAGATGTCTCAGGGCCCAAGCTACAAATCCTCACAAATGGTGACAGAGTTGGCTGTTGCTGTTCGCAGAGCTCTGCTTCCAAGAGAATCAGTGGTCATTCAGTCAGCAGCAGTTCATTTTTGCTGCCAGATGGGAGAGAAAACCAGGCTCAGAGTTGCAGTTAGTCTCATAGCAAACTCAGCAGTCGGTGGATGGGTCACAGAGCCCTCCATGGGTACTGAGGTTAGCTCAAAATAGCAATCCGGGGAAAGAACTGAAAAGATTATGAGAAACATAAAAGCACATGATCCTAAACTCACGAATAGTTTAAAGGAACTGGCTACTATGTTTGGCGTCTGAACGCATATTTCCGTCTTTAAGCTCCCTCCTCCCATTTGGTCAGCTAAGACTATAGATGCCTAACATTACACAGCAGAAGTACCTTACATTTTTGTTGCTGGAGATGTCTGTTATACTGGCTGTAAGGAGCTTGATGCTTATATCTGCCATTTCACAAACTACGGATTACTTAGTCTATCTTTTGTTTTCTCAGAACATGCCTCCTAGATGAGATGCCTCACAGAAAGCAGTGCTCCTGGTCTGAATATATCCTCCTTTCGGTCTGTTGGCAGCTGTATCCGTGCCCTGTGAGACTAGACACTGTATTCAGCTATCTCGGCCCAGTTTAGAGGAGAGAATAGAACCCATCTCTCCCAGGAAATTTCACTAACTACTAGTCTATAGTGTATTCTAAACTGAAGCATTTACAGTCTGTTGAATTTATTCCATTCTCCTTAAAACATTTAAGTATTTATTGCAGAAGGGGCTAGGACTTGGGTCTCTGCAGTAAAAGTCCTTATATAATCTACCCTGACACTGGCCCAGTTTAGGATATATCTATTTATGACCCAAAACTTGTTCAGCAAGTCACTCAAAATTGGAACTGGCTGAATAATTTATGAGACGATTTGCAGGCAAAAGCCCTGAGTTGGGTTTACTCTGATTCACAGGGATAACATTATTTATGATTTTCTGTTCAGACTTAATGCATGAGTATGTTTCAGTGTGGCCAGTAATTGTCCCAAGATTTGCAGTAGGAGTTTTTCATTCCCCTGTTTTACAGTGCCAATAGCAAAGTGACTCATAAGTATAACAGATAAGCTTTTGAATGAAACAGCCCAGAAGAATCGGATGAAGAGACATGTGCTACCAAATCAGTCTCCTCTTCCTATTGTGCAGTTATATCCTGAGGTGCGGCCCACTGGACAAGTATCTAAAAAGGCCATCGTTTCTTTCTCCTCGTAGAACCTAGACTCACAGAGATAACCTGGAGTGAAAGAAGATTAGGGTAAGTCACTGCAATAATTCATATTTGCTACAGGCTAAGAGCTCATATATGAGCAATAGCTGATGCAGGATGACTAGTTAAGCTGCCATGGCAAACCACTTGCGACTCTGAGCCCTAACTAACAGCTGCTTTTTTCTCATAAGCCCTGAGGGAGGCCAGACATCTGCCAAAGGACATTCTGATGAATACTGGGCTCCCATCGTGGTATATTTCCTTTGAAGACTGCAGAGGCTAACTCTGATTTTACACCTGTATCGCATCTGACCCTCAAACCATAGTTAGAATCCACTTAGTTCTAAACAAGATGTTTCCCGAGCTGCCACATTTGACCCTGGGTCTAAATCTGATTTATCTGAACTGACAGGTGTATGGTTTTAAGGTTTAATTCATTTACCTTCCTATCCTGAACATGACTCCCCAAAACATAGCACAGAAAGAGCTGTGCTGAGCCCTTACACCCTTCCCATTATTCTGCACTTTCCCAAGAGAAAAGGCATGAATATAATGGTCTAAATAAGAGTTAACTCCAAGATCTAAACAAGTACATTGAGCAATTTATTCAGAGCACATCATGCTGTTCTTCCACTTCTTTGGTAATGAATGCACAGCATCAGCATGGCTGAAAGTTAAGGGGTATATTCCTCCATGTCCCTTAGGCTGGCTTATCCAGCAATTGTGTTGGCAGTTTGGAGCTTTTCCCAGGATCTTCTATGGCCAGGGATGCCACAGGCCATTTTATTAAATGTCAATGCCCACTGCTGGTTATTTTTTGAAAAAAAAACAAACTTATTTTCTCCTGCTCCGCATCAAAAGAGCATCTATTTAAAGGTCTTTTTCCTTTCTTTAGGAATGAAATAGCATGAAAGAATTGTACATGCAACCCTACTGTGCACCAGTTTGCTATCTCCTGCAATGACAAAGTCTTTTTCCTTGTCTTGCCCTCAGATCTGCAGCAGTACAGCAATCCTTCTTCCAGCACAGGCTCAGAATACACTTCAGACCCAGAAATGCCAGCTCCAGTGGGTAAAATAGCTAATCAGCAAGTTGAGAGAAATGAAAGATAAGTGAACTTTTTCCTGTTACTGTACAGATCTCAGAAAGGTGGAAATCATGTAAGCAAGATAAAAAACAGGTGGTCAGATACAAGTTTGAAGGACATGCAGAAATTCCCAAATCCTTATCTCTGCCCCCTACAAAATCAGAGTTCCTCCAAGTGACAGGCCACACAGCACCTTCCTCTCTTTGGAAGATCACGCTTATTTTTCCATTCATGTGAACATGGTAGTCATCTGATAGAGTTAAAGCTGCATTTGTCAATGCCTGTCGTATATGAAACTTTTGGGAAGACAGGGCAAACCATTTTCAGGGAAATGGTGCTTCACTTACTCTCCAGCTCTCAAAGAATGCTTTTTCTTCCTCTCTGTTTTGTAAAGTGCTGTCAACACTTACGGTGCAGTTTATTGTAAATACACAATAATAACAATTGTGTGCATTCATCTCTGATTCAATTCCTATGTAAATTTATGCTAATATGAATGCAGATTAACCCTGCTCCCCTTGGTCCTGGAAAGTTGTCAGAATGACACATGGGTTCTGAAAAGGTTGTGTACCACTGATCAGCATTTTTCTACAGTATTCAATAACTGATAAACCAACAACACAGAGACTATGTTTATTTTGTTTATTTTTTCTGGATAAATCAGTGGAATGTTTAAGGTGGAATCATGAAGGACCAGTTTCTGGAACCATAGTTTGCCCATATTTTCTTCTATTTCACAACAGAACAACTATTCACAGGTGGGTTCTTTTGAGGAACACGATGGTACAAGGGAGTTTTGCTAGTGACCCTTCAAGAGCTGATACGCCATATCTTAGGTAGAAAAGCAATTTTTCTTTCTAGTATTCAGTAACCACTAAAGCAATGCCTAGAGATTATGGATAGGCCTCCTCCTTTTTTCCTGGCTAAATTAGTGCAGTCTTTAAGAGAGCTCCAAAAGGACACATGTATTTTATTCTCTTCCTCTTAGTCTCCCTTTTCTCCATTTTAACATGGAATACACTTACTTTCCAACTGTGTGGGCAGCCAGAGCCATTCTGAGTACCCAAGTCCCACCAGTGGCGAGGTAGCTGGAGTGCTACAGTTGTTCTCTGCCGTCCTGCCAGGGATCTTTGGCTATGACACTTTCTGGTACTTTGCAGTAAATAGAAACTAATCTTTAGTTCATTCCAGTGCTGATTCCCTATAAGGCTCCCAAGCACTTCTTGAATAATCACAGCAGGACCTAAATGGGACTTTGAGAGATACATGGGCTCTTTGCACAGGGATGAATTTCCAGTAATCCAAAAGGGGGTGGGGAAATTGCTATCAGAAACAGCAGGCACCACAACAGTTCTCTAGGAAGATACACCAGACAACAGAAGTCCAATTGCCAAGAAGTATTTTCACTCCTGCAGTTCACAGCTGAGGACTTGATCCTGACCTTTGATACATACAACAGATTTGTTCTGCAGCTGGAAACTCAGTTGCAGCATTTGTGCTTGGAGGGCAAGATTGTGCCCAGAGCTGACAAGGCTGGAAGCTGAGTCATCAGTTCTGAAGTAAGGCAGCAGCCTCCTGACCAGAATCAGATACCACTCCATTTTCACTCTAATAACACTTAATGGACCAAGAAGGCCAGTTATGTGGCGGAAAAACAAGTAAGAATAGGATAACTGTACCCCACACAGTGATAAGAAACTTCATCGACTCCACTCAAGCCTGTCTGCTGGTTTTAAGACTGACACTGAGACAAGTCCTTTCGCCTCTAAGCTCTTCGCACTTCACTCCGTTGTAGAGTGTTATTTCACTCTACTTTTTTTAATCTCATTTTATCGAGGGCAATCTTAGCCCCAAGAGCAAAACAAGTACAATAAAAGCAATTAGAGTCTGGAAGGAATCTGTATTTTTTCTTTGAAATAGAGCCCACGTCAGACAGCTTTTCACATACCTTGTTCGGTGTAGGTTCCATTATGGCATCCCATCAGGCCCATTCAAACCAGGTTGCAGAAGTACTGTGGCTGAGATCCAACAGTGCCTTTCTTCCTGCAATAGCTGTTGTTGGTGATTTCATCTCAGTCATTTTCTCTCTCTTTCCACCTCTCATGCAGCTGCCTGCCTGTCTTGATAGGACCAAAGTGTAGCTCACGGAATCTATATGATAATCACAAAAATAGTTATTTCTGCTGAAAAATGGATTTAATTCCCCCTCTAAACCTTTGTGGATTGCCAACTGGGGGTGTGAAACCAGCTGGCAAAAGATGCGTTCATTTCAATTTCATGACTTTCATATACTGCAGCTTCCTGACTTTAAATGGTTCCTCCCCTCTCTAACGAGAGCAGCAAGGCCTTGAGTAACAGCCCTCACTTTAAACAAAGTTTTAAAGTAGCTTCTTTCTATGGAGACTTCTCTGGGGAAGTTTGACAGCTTGCTCAACCCAGGGCAACCTAATGCCTTTTCTTTCACAGCATGAGCATTTGTCAGAGAAACTAAGAGTCAGGCTTGGTGAAGACGTGTATCCCTGAGTACTCTGCAAGTAAGTGGCACAACAGCGTGGGAAGGAAGCTTGAAAGTAGCACTGGTAAAATAGTGAAAAACTAATTCCATCAATGTTTTCAGAATGTAAAAGTTTGAAATGGACTCTGCTTTACTTTTTTGAATCTTCCAACTTTCTTCTTATAAAATTATTTTAAAAGGTGAAACAAAATGCCTTTTTATTTATCGAAAACCTTGTCTTCGGTACACTGTTTATAGGTCAAAAGAGGATTCTGGAGAGGAGGGGTAACTAGGGGAGGAAAACATGATATAGGGAAGAAAATCCTGATATACCTCTTGACAGTTAATCACACAGAAGAGAAAGGCTATTTCATGGGAAAGAGAATATCAGGTTGGGCAAAGTCATCTAGGTCAGAGCCTCCAAAAGTTATGCTGAATGGTGCTTTGGATGTGAATACTGAAATCAAAGATGTTATCCATGGAAAAATACTATTTGCTTGCAGCCTCTGGACTTTCAGACTCTTCCAGCTGCCCACTTAATCAGTGAAAGCCTTTAATAGACATTAGATGAGGGCCTTAGTAATAACTGAGTCTTTGATGCTGGAGTTACAGAAATTTTAAATGGGCTCTACTAGCAAGTTTGCCTGAAAATGACTGCAGTACGCATCCTTCCTTGTCAGACGCCAAAATGCTCTTACTTTGTGACCTTGCCTCCTTTTCACTGTTCTCCCTTGGGAGATGGGAGAACAGCAAGGCCCTTTCAGTTAAGCCTCCTAACAGTACTTGAGGTGTATGTCCAAATTGCAGTCATGTGGTGGCTACTGTGAAGTGTAGGGTTGTTCATACCCCAAGTTAACTGTAAACCAACAGAAATATAGTTCTGTTAGCACAGAGCTCAGCAAACATACCTGAAAAGGTAAGGTTAATTAGCCTTGAGTTGAGTACTAATATTGCCATAACCTGATTGTTACAAGCATTTCAACTAACTTAAACATCCCTGGATGTTTCTGCACTGTCAGTATGGCTACCATATGTGGGAAAACTGTAGCACACTGCAACTAACTAGACACTTCCAGAGGGCATGCCTGAGCTAGGGTTAGACTAGAGTTTTTGTTTAACATGAAAATGAAGCTTTGCTGTGGTTCTATTTATTTATAACTCCTGCCAGGCAGAAAGTTTCGTTTACATTCAGCCAAAGGCTGAAAGGAAATACTGAGGCTTGGGAGTGGAAGGAGGACAGAAAAAAAAGAGAGAGAGAGAAAAAAAAAGAAAACAACATGCTAAACAAAAGCTCTCGTGAAGTTGATAGCATCACCAGACTAGCAAAGCAAGTAAAAAGAGTCAAAAATTCCAGGCACAGAATTCAGAAACTGCAGCTCTCTTCCAGGGAAGGAACATACTGCATCTCATTTCTGCTCTGCCTGCTGATATGATCTACAGAAAATCCATCACCAGCTGAGAGAGGGCTGCATTCATTGTCAATGCATTCCGTCACTTTTGTGTCCCAACTTTCATGGGTTTATTATATGCACAGTCATGGACTTTTCTGTGAGAAAGACAATACAAGCTTGTTTATTGTTGTCTTATAGAACCATTAGGAAGTTTGATGCTTTATAGATACATTTCCCCTCTTTTATTGCTTCAGCTATCAATAATTGGTATAAATTGAGCTTACCACATACTATGGCATGTATCTCCCTACAAACATTTACACATAAATATGGAAAAGATGGACAGTGAATAGCAGAATTTACTGAGAAGCAAGAAGAAACTAGCGTATTCAGAAACAGGAGAAAACTAAGACTTACTGATGAATTATTAGGGCATAAATATTAGATAACTTTCACATTTTCATCTTCTGTCATAATTCTGTATCTAGGATTATCATGGTTTCCTCCTGCATGCCTATCCCTTCAGGGAAGAAGGCAACAAAAAGGAAACTACTCACAGAAAATGATCCACCTAGTTTGTATAGAGGGAAGGAATAAACTTGGAATCAAGTGATGGAAAAGAGCAAGGCTAAAGTAAATGCTAATTTATAGCACCAGACTGGGAAGAATAGTAATATCAGTAGAGCATTTACCTTTGAGCAGAAGCTAAAAAAGACAAATAGATTGAAGCTAACAGTGCCAAATCCACAACTTAGTGAAGTCAGTGTACACATCCCCATCAACTCCAGCTCCACTGGAGCTTCAGTCCAATGCCAGAACTTGTGCTGCTTCTCACTGTAGCTCCTTATCATGAAATACCTCTCTCCATACATATTTGCTTCTAATAGCAACATGGAGGCAAATTTCACTCATGTGAAGGGTAGGACTTGCTTGAAAGGGCAGGCCATGCTTTAACCTGATTTAACAGGTCTCCAGCAGATTGGGGAGTGGTGCCAGTCCTTCCATCCCTATGACTTAAGAGAATAGTAGGTGTCTGACCATTTTAAAAGACTGTACTCTCTTGATTTGAGCCTAGGAAGCTCTACAAGACTCATAACAATAAGTTTTCATTTTTACCTGGTCAGTGCCAACCAAAGTGAACTGAAAATAAAGAAAATCACCTTCCAGTAATCACTATACCTCAAAGAAATGAGCACACACCTATTAGTCCCATTAAAGATAATAAAAGCAAGACTCTTCAATTGACAAACCTGTGCAGTTGCTGATTGTGAAGCATCCTTCAATCCTTTCTCCTCAACAGCCAAAAATGATGGCGAGCGAAGATGTACTGTGTCTTCCCTGAATGAAAAGCATTCAGCCATTAACACATAATTAGAGCCAGAGCTCCAATTCGGACTTTGCTACTGGCATGATTGGTGCAACGTCCATTTCAGGATCAGTACTAGAGGTTTTGTGTTGTAGCATACTCTTGGTGCAGTGTTAGTGACAGGATTATAGTCTCTCATACTCCAAGCCCAAGGCTGTGCAAGCTGTTTCCTTTAGCAAGTCATTATGTATGAGAGACAACTGTTATTTAAACCAATAAAGATGTATGTATCCCAACCCAGAAGACAAAAAAGACATTTAAGTCCCGCATGTAATTCAAATTGAAACACTAGCAAGTGTGGCAGGCATCCCAGTATTCTAACTTAGGACAAGAGCCTTTCAAAGCTTTTTTTTTTTTTTTTTTTGTGTTAATACATATATATATTACACTGACAGGCAAGCCTTAGGTTCCTTGCCCAGCTTGGGTAGTAAATGTAGCTCCATAGGTCTGTGTCTGCTCAGACCTTTGTAATGCAACACAGCTTCCTTCATAGCCAAAAATCATTTCGGCTTTCCCTGATCAGTGATGGGACAGCTCAAGCTGATGGCCTTCACCCTTTTGCATCGTAAGACAGTTCTAAGATTACAATAGAGGGAAAGTATAATTAGAGGAAAGGCAGGAAAGAGGGGAAAGGAGGAAAGTAAGTGGTTGGTTTATCCTGAGCAGAATGTCAGAAAAATGATATGACATGGGATCCCCCACAGAAGTATCACTTTATGTCAGACTATCCCACACTCCGAACATTTCCTAGCAGACACTTTATTCTCAGTGGAGTGTAGCTTTCTGCAAGAGTCCTTAATAGGCCAGCTGGATGTCATTACGTAATTAAGCATATAAGCCAGGATCCTCTGAGGTAGTCTTGAGCACAGCAGTTTTACCATGTAAGATCAAAATGTTTTTCTTCCTTTCAAAAGATGTAGTGCCATTTGTTGTAATACCTTCATGCAAGTGATCAAATATAATATTGACTATTCATTATTACCTGTAAAGAGGTCTGTAAATTCCTGGAATTCAGAAGGCCTGAAGGGATATAGGCCCCAGGGCTTGATGACACATCTTGATCTGAAACTTTGGAATATCACCTGCTGTCTTGATTGTTTTATACTTGCTGCTTGGCATTTCAAAGTCTTTCTCTCTCTCTCTCCCTCTCTCTCCCTCTCTCTCCCTCTCTCTCTCTTTTTCTCTCTCTCTGTCTCTCTTTTTTTCCCCCCAAGGCATCAGTCTTACAGATATTGCCAGATCTAGAGATGTGAAGAATACACAAGAAAGTGAAAGTGAGAAGACCATGCACTGGGAGCCCAGCTGGTATACATCTGCTTTGCTAAGCTTGAATTGAAAATGAGTATCATTATTCTTGTCTTGCATGCATCCTACTGTGTTTAGTTATTGCATCACACAGAAGAGGCAATGGGCATATCCAGTGGCTAGCTCCACTGGACTCAACATGGATTAACTAACTCCTCAATATCCTAGCAGGGAGCTTGTCAACCTTTATATGCCAATTTGATTTTCAAACATGTCCTGATGGAGGAAGGTTTAGAGGAGGCTGTGGGTGTCGTTATGTGGAGACCCTGACAAAAGTTAACACGCTCCCTTTATTGACTTAAGAAAAATTCAATGGCGTATTCATCTGGATACTGTATTAAAAAGTTCCCTTTTTCTACAACATTGCCTATATGTTGTAGAATATAACCTCCAAGAATGCTTTTTGGCAGATGGTTAAATATTTAAGTAGTTGGCCACAGATTTAAAAAAAAAAAAAAAGACCGAGAGAGAGATAATTAGAAGAACTGAAGCATTTAATATTTATTAGTCACGAAGAGTTTGACAGATTGGATGTTTTCCTACCCACACAATCTCTAGTAGAAAAAAAATAAACCTCTCATCGTTCATTATATATGAAGCAAGCCCTTATATGAGGCAGAAGTGGACAGCATGGACTTCCCAGAGTTCTCAGTATGAGACAGTGAGATTAGCAGCTACTGCTTAATTCAAGAACAGTCCAGAAAAGAAAATGGAAATGAAGAAGTTTGTAAAATCCCTCCTGTGGAAATGCACAGAGCTCACCCTGGAAAACACCCAGGACTGAAACCTCAGGACTGATTCTTCTGCCCCACTTCAGCTTTCACTATAAATTATCCTGTCTCTAGCAAGGTTTCGGTGCTGTTCCAGCCACTGGAGATTATCAGATAGA